CAAAAGAAAAATAACGGCAAAGAAACGGCGTGAAAAAAAAAACATTACCAAAGGAAACTGTGCAGCACAAAGCAGAATTTGGGCTCGGAGGCCCTGATCCACTTTCCTCTCCTCTTATTCCTTCTTCATCCTCCCTCCTCTTTTTCACTTACGCGGATGATTATTTGTCATCCGGGATCCTCTGGGCCCGTAGAGCCAGCCACCCTTCTCTCCTTCTCCCTCACGCGTATGTGCGTGGACATGTCATTCTTCCTCGGTGATGCGCATCCAGCACCCAGCCGGATGCTCACAGACTACTCGTCTCAGCAGCCCTCAACGCTATAATGGTGGCGTGGCCACCGCATTCTTACCACCCGGCTCCTAGCCGGCCCCACCAAGCCGCACCACCTCCTGGAGGTCAGAGTACGGTGGTGGCGTGTATCGCACCGCCATGTAGTTCTCTCCCCGCAGCGGTTTCTGCAGCTCATCAATCATGGGGGCCTTCATCCACGCGCAGCCTGTCGTGGGGTCCGCGAGCTGTGCCCACGCGCGGTCGATAGGATCCGGAGACTGGCGAAGGAGGCGCGCGTCCCAGTTGCGCATGTACTGTGTTGGCACCACCTGCGGCCCTTCCACGCGTATATCGTGCGGCACCTCCGCAACAAAATAACGCACAGGAACGCGCCAGTAATACTGCGGGCTTGTTTGGTATAGCTGGGCTGTCGGGAACACGTTGGTGGGATCAACAGTGATTCCAGTCTCCTCCCACAGCGTTCGAACAGCCGCTTCCTTGTAGCGCTCGTAGAGCAGAGTCCACTTCCCTGGTAGCTTAAGCGAAATAGGGGGAATGTCGGGTGGGCGAAGTTCTCGGTTGATGCGACGCAGCATCAGCCACTCTACCTCATTCGAGCCTTTCACTCGCCTAAAGACACCCAACCGCACGTACACAGGGTCCTGCTGAATCGCCGCCTCCATCAGCTTGTGGCAGTTGAAGATGCCACGTTCTGACCCAAAGAGGTACACCGTAATGTCCACGTCGTCTGCTGAATCGTATGGACCTCCTCCGTCATCACCTTCGCCGCTGATTTCCTCTGAAAGCCGCTCGGGGTAAGTAGGCTCCAGCTCAATGTGGACACCTGTGCGGTACTTGAGCTCTGCTGCCCACTCCCGCATCGGCCCCGACACTTTGCGAGCGAGGGCCGCTTTTGTCTGCCACTTGTACACAAACGAGTTTGTCAGGAGATCAAAGCGAGCGGGTGGACGGGCGAGCCTCTCCAACTGAATAGTCGTAGAGGTGGCGGCACTGCCCATCATCGCGGGCCCTAGTGGTGGAGTCTGCAGTGCATCCAGCGGGGCCGCGTGGTCCTCTGTCTCCAGCACCGATGCAAGCTCCCCACGCAGGGCGTCGTCGTCGCTGATGAACGCGCTGCTGTCGCTGGGGCGGTCATCGCCTGTCTTGCGGCGACGCGCCACGAGGCCCCACGCCGGAGCAAGCGGCAGGCATGACCACCTTCTGCGCATGTTTTTTTTTTCCTTGCTGGCAGGGCTTCCTCTCTCTCTCTCTCTCAATTTCTCGCCGTCAAAGTATCCCCTCTCCTCTCCCTGTGTCGACTGCCTTATTTCTTTTCTGTTCTTGGTTGTTTCTCGCACCTTTTGTTGCTTCTTTGCGTCGCCTTTGGTGTTCTGAATCTGTGAATGTCTGTACGTGTGGATCCGGATCCCTCCGTGAGTCCTCCCTCCGCGGACGAATCCCGTGAACGGCGGGGCCTCGCACTTCACACAGAGACACACGCTCCCCCTCACTCGCCCCTTTTAGTGGCGTTGCGTGTACGAAGGTCAACAAATTGACGCAGCCGCCCACACACAGAGAGACGCACAGAGAGACAGGAGCCAACACCACGAAGGAAGAAGAGGAAGAAGAAAAAAACAAAGATGAAACAAACAAAATCAAAGGAGCTGGCACACCATGGGCAGGCGCATCTATATATGACCCATGCAAGTGAAGGGCACTGCGCTACGAATGCTCAGTGGAAGAGAAATATAAATGTGAGTAAGAGTGAATGGCAAAAAAAAATCCGGTTGCCAACTACGCCATAGTGAGCAAGGCTGTTTCACGCGCCCGCTCCAAGTGCTTGCGAAGAAAGTCACGCTTCAGCGGCGTCACGTTTCGGCCAACGTTCAAATTGAGTTCATACGGGTCCTCAATGCACCACTGGTAGTGAATTTTTTCACCGTTCATGCGGGCAAGATCCTCCGCGTTCTTCGTCCAATTCAGCTGCTCCTTCGTCGTGACACCGGGCCGGCTCAGCGAGATCACGTGGCTCACCGCGTCGAACTCGTGCATGTAGAACTGCAGAAAATCCACGACCTGCTCGCCCAGCTCCAAGCCGTCATTCCGCGGCGGCTCCAACGGCAGGTACGGCGGCACCGGCGATACCTGTGCCACGTCAATCGCGGTCGGTGGGATGAAGCGCAGCGTGCCGCGCTGCAGCAGGTAGTACACCACCATCAGGTTGAAGCCGTAGGACGTGATGCTGCCGCCCATAACAGATGCGTTCAGCCCCGCGCGCTTGCTCCATCGCTTTACCCCCATGCTCAGCCAGCGGCATGACGGGTCCTGCTCAAAGTAGGCACGCAGCAGCGCACTGTTGCGCACGCCATTGCGCCGGTTGGCGGTGATGTCAAAGTCAATGCTGCTGCCGCCCTTCACGCGAATTACCGGAACGCGCGTGCGCTTCACCTCCTCGACATTCCACGAGACGTGCTTCTGCCGCACCACCTTCGCCAGTTTACCAAGGAACTCCGCCTGCAGCCCCTTCGCCACTTGTGTCGCGGCGTCCTCACCCTTCCCGTCCTCCACATCACTCTTGCGAAGCGCAACGAAGTCCACATCGCTGCCCTGTTCATGCACGCCGTACACCGCGGTGGAGCCGAACATGTACAGCCGCATGGCGGGGTCAACGGCTGCCACGCACTCCAGCACAACGCGATACGCCGCCTCCACACGGTGGGTGTGCAGGTCCTGGGCGGCAAGGTGCTGGAACGCATCCATGAGGCTCCGTCCAACGACAGCAGCAGCCGGCGGCATTTGCTGCTCCGCTCTTCGCTGTTCCTTTCCAAATAGACACACACATATGCAGAGAGAGTAAAAGGCAAGCAATGCAACAAGAGACACCATGCAGCGTCAACACCACTCGGTCTGCACTTCAATGCACACCCACACACACACACACACACACACACGCACACGCTCAGCAGCACTGACAGCAACCGCAACAACAAAAAGCACACCCATTGATACCAATAGCACCACGTACCCATGAAAGAAACAAAACGCACACACACAAACTAGAAACGGAAATAATAAAATAAAAAACTCTGTATTCACGAGAGAATCTGTGCAGCCGCTTTAAGAAAGGGCATAGAAAATAAAACAACAATCACACTCTCATACAGAGAGAAACAGAGACAAGTGTACACATCAATACGCAGCTCAATTTCCCGATAAGCACTTGAGCAGCTTTATCCCTCAATCCTCTCCAGCTCCGACAAGGACATCATCATATCTGTCAGCTTGGTGGTGACTTTGTCAGTCAGCTGCTCCTCCAGCAGCCGCATCTCCGCCACCATCCGCTGCACCGACTCGCGGCACACCACCTGGTAGCGCACTACGACGGTGTTGATGTCCCGTACGCAGCCACGTAGATAGCGGCAGTGCTGCACGAACTGCCCGCGCGGCGACGGTGGCCGCTGCGATGGAGTGCACGGAGTGACATGCGACAGGGATGGGCTCGGCTGCTTCGTCTCGAGCACGTCGCGCGGGGTCGGCTGCACAGAGGAACCGCAGCGTCGCTGCTCCGGGATTTTGTCCATAGATTCTTCCTGCACATTGAGTGCGCGTGGCCGCTCGGGTGTTCGCGGTGTCTTGCCCAATGTCGCACAGCCGCCGCAGACGAAGCAGTCATTGCTGTGAGCGTCGTCCTCATCGTGCTTCGTCGCCCACCTCATGTCGGCGTCAGCGTTGAAGAGACGATGTCGCACGCTCAGCACGGGTCGCCGTGGTGGCGGTGACGGCGGTGTTGGCGGCGCACCTGACAAGAGACGTGGCGGGGAGTAACGGCGTGACGGGAGGTCGCACATGTCGGACGCGGACGGTTCTCGTAGCGCCGTCATTGTTTCCCCCGAAGCAGCGTAATCATAATCAGCAGGGGCAGCATCTGCTGGAAGCGGTGGAGAGGGCGGTGGCTGCACTTTTTCTGATTTTCCAGCACCCCTGCAGGGCGCGGCACGGCGCGGTATGTTCTGACAAAGAAGATAATTTACACGTCTGGCATTACGAGCAACAATGGTGTTTGCACGCGACAACATACGTCCAGCAATGCGCGTGGCAGCCTTCGAGGAGGGGGCAATGTGGAGATCGAGTCCAACAATGCGTTCTGATCGCTCCAGTCCTCTCAGCAAGATACCCGCCACAACATCATCGACATGGTGCAGGTCCAGTACCATGTGCACCCCGTTCAACCATGAAAAGCACGGTGGTGGTGATCTGGCACCCTTCGCGATTACCGCTTCTGGGGACTGCGGCCTGTTGCAACCAGTGGCCAGGCAGTCGTCGCCTGGCTTCTCTGTGGCGCCCCTCGCTGCTGGTGCCACAGCTGGCGGGCGCTTTGCACGGGGTGTGTGGGGGCATCGCTTTGCCGGGCTCCTGGCAGGGCGCGCAGCGGTCGCGGCCCTCGAAGACTTTCGGACGAAAGTGAAGTGTGTAAAAGCTGACATCATCATCTTCGACTGGAGCACACTGACACCTCCCACTAATCGAACATACTGGAGACTGCAGCAACGCGAAGCGCCAAGAAGCAGCAGCCGCAGGGACTCTGGTGGAGTGAACTGCATGTGGACTGTAAAGGCGGTGAGGGAGGTGCTTGATTCCAGAAGGGGCTTCAGTTGCTGCGCCACCGTCACCGGTACGGCATGCAGTGGCGTATTCCCCAACGTCACACGCGTCGCCGTGTTGTGAAGAAGCGCCGCAGCCGTTATGCTCGTCATGTTGCACTGCCGGGGTAATCAACAAACGCCCACAATACAAACAAACACAACCACACAAAACTTCAGACGTTGATGTCCCTACTCGTCGTCTTCTTGGCTGCACTGCAGTCTTTCACAGAGACACGCAAACCAAAAAAAAAAGNGGGTCGGGGAGCTGAGAGAAGTATAAATCGCGTTGGGTATTATTTCTTATTGTTGTGGCAGGGCAATACTGTCAGCCGCAGCAGCAGCAGCAGCAGAAAAAAAAAAGGGAGGGGGGAGGGCGGCGAAAAATCCACAGCAACAAAGAGAAGGAGTTGCGTTGAGAAATGGAAGAAAACGCCCTGTTACGTGGGTGCTTCACTTCCTCTGCTCAGCAGCTGTGTCACCTCATGCGAAACCTGCAGGAGGTCCTCCTCGATTGCTACCAGCCGCCTGGTCTGCGCCGTGTGAATGTCAATCAACCTCACATGAACGAACTGGTGGTACAGCACGAACGTCGTGGTCATGCCGGCTGCAAACCCAGAGAGTTTGATGCTCAACATTTAGCAGCAGGGGCAATGTGTTGCTTGCGGCTACGCTTGAAGGATGGAAAGAAAAAAACAGCTAAAATCCTTCGACTCGGTCGCAAGTGACACTACGACCTTGAGAAGAAATAAAACAAAAAACGACAAGTCAAGGAAGACGTTAGGAAGAGCCACACACAGCCACGCATACGTCAACAGTAATTTACACCAAGAGGACTCAGTACAGCCACAAGCTCATTTTGAGCCATAGGCCGCCAGGAGCCATCCGTTGATCACCACCACCACAATGTCCATCTTTAAGTTACCCATGTTTTCACATCTGCCGCTTCCGCAGCTGTGGTGCTGGTGCTGGTGGTGGTGGTGACCTTGGTTACCAACGTCTACCTTTCCCCTCCCTGTCCGTAATGTACCTCTTCGTCTTCTTCTGTACGGCTGCCGGGAAGAGGCCTTCATGAGCCCGCGCCCAAGCCCCGCAGCTACACACAAGAGACAGAGCGAGAGAAGAACAGAGAGAGGCACGAGCAAAAACGAAAAAAAAAGAGAATATTGTGTACCGTAAGGGACGCACACTTCTTGTCTCCCATATCACACACACACACACACACACACACACAGAGAGAGACATATATACACAAATCGCGATCCTTTTCTACTCGACAAAACGCACCGAGACGTGATTCTCCTCCCCCTCCTTGAACGGTAGATCGTTGAGCGAGAGTGGGTCGAGCAGCGGGCGGTCACCCAAATAGAGCGTTGTCTTCTCGTACGGTAGGCCGTTGAGGTCCTCCAGCTGCGCTTTAAGACAGGCGATCGTCTGCCCCATGTAGTGGTCGCGCTTCACTGTCGCGCCACCGGGGAGCATAAACACAACGTGCACCAGCTCCCCCGCCAACTCACGCTCTACGCCGCCGAGCTGGCCTATCAACGGCTGTGTCTTAGGCAACGGGTTGTCGTCCGGCACGGCGTTCACAGGCGCCTCCCACTCTTCGGCGGAGTCCGTAGATTCATCATGTACTTCACTCATCATGGTCACTACCTTTACAGCAAGCACTCTTGCTGCCGATGCTAATGCGGCTGCTACAGCGAAGATTGTTTAGAGTTGCGCGATAAGCCCCGCCGATAACAGTAACGCGGCGCAACTTATTAGCAGTCGCGCGCCCACAGGACTATGCTTATCGGAGGAGACTGATCCAGTCTTTTCACATGGCAAAATTTACACGCAGAGCGAGAGAGAGAGAGAGACGGGGAGAAGAGAAACAGACAGAACAACAGTAGCAATAAAGGAAAAGATCAAGGAAGGAGAGGAAGGAGAGGAAGGAGAGGATAAAAGAAGAGTACAGGTGGGCAAGACAGCATTTTTCATGCATACAAAAGACCAGGATAAAGATACGTGGTCTTTGTGAATACGGCCCATGCACTGCGACATGGCAGCTGCGTCTCAGAGTTCTATGCGGTCCATCACACGCTGCAACATCACCTCGACAGAGTCCCTGTACCCGAGCAGCGTCACATTACTCGGATCCTTCGCCTTGGACTCAAATACCCACAGTGGCCCACTGTTTGGTTTCAGTGCAACTCTGTTACTGCTGCTGTTGATATTATTATTCTTCTTCTTCTTGTTGCTGTCTAGAGCAGCCTTGTCATCCTCTGCAGCAAGCTGCTCGCACAGCCACGGCAGCAATACACTTACTGCAATAGGTTCACCTGGGCTGGTCAGCTCCACGTTGTCAGCAATGCCAATCTTCTCCGCCACCACAGAACTGTTGGCAGGCAAAGAGGCCAGCTTCAGCCACAACGCGACAACATCACCACAGCGGCCTTTACTCATCTTTACAGCCTTTAGGGCCTGCTCCAGTGCCTTGTCGTGCTTGCCAGCAGCGTGGTACACCTTCGCAACGGCTGCAAGCACAAGGGGATCGCGCACGCGCCAATGCTGCACAGCCTGCGCTGCTGCTCGCCCACGCGTAGCAGGGGCCTCCAAATCAATGGAAAGTGCCACCAGCTCCCCTACTGGCACTGTGAAGCAGCCATCCTTCTTTGGCAGAAGCTGCAGTGTTTCCCTCACAACTTCAAGTGCAGTCCCACGCCCCGCATGTGTTAGCTCAACATGGCACCGCGCAAGACCAAAAGCCGCTTGAACCTCTGCCCTCTTAGTGTGCTGCAACTGCCCGCACACAACATCACCCTCCAAAAGCAAGGCCCTTGCAGCACTGGCGTCAGTAAGAAGATTGGATTCCAATTGCACAGCTGCGTAGCACCACGCTGTGGGCGAAAACCGACAGTGTGCCGCACTGAGCGCCCTTCTGCAGACGTGACGCAGCTCGCTGACGAGTGGTGCCGTACTGACGCCTCGCATTGAAACATCGTCTAGTGCGCGTCTTATCCTCGCCCCCTCCGCCTCCATCCGCATTAGCCACAGCCGCTCTGACTTTGGAAACACAGCCAGAGCCTTCTCAAGCAGTGGCACAATGTCCTCCTGCTTGCTACGGCGATGCAAAGCAAGCTTTACCCACGCTGTGTCCGTGTCCGCAGGCACAAGTTCTGTCCCCTGTATCAGAACCTGCTCCGCCTCACTTTCACAGCCCACTGCCATCAATGCCTTTGCAGCTGCAGCAAAGAGGGCCGTGCTCGTTGGGTGCCGCACAAGACCAAGCTTCAGCGCACGGGACGCACCCTCGTAGAAGCCGCGCTCGTATAGCTCCTTGGCAATGCGGAGTGTCACCTCCACCGTGCTGAGCAGCGGCGTGTAAAGCAGAGTGCGAACAAGCACACATGTCAGAGGCAGCGGCAGGCTCTGAGACGCAGCGGTGGCCGAGGTTGTCGAGCCGTCCACCACCGGCAAGGCTGCATCCGTCGCTGCCGGTCGATCAAGTTCCTCCTCCTCCTCCTCTTTTTCCACTGTCCTTCTTCTGTTCACCGACACATTCACCACAGGCGTGTGATTTGCCAACGCCAAAAGCGCGGCGTTAATCGAAGGTGACGGAGCCAACTGCAGAGCACATGTCATGACCTCCATCTCTTTATCCATCACATTGCTGTCACTGCCGCCGTGCGGGAGACGCCCATTAGTGTGGAGGAGGATAAGCATCGCCGACCATATCGCACACAGTACATCGTGTGTTTGTACTGCGTCCGGCACCAAGGCCATCAGATCCTCCATCCATGTGGTGGGCACAGAGAGCGCTACTGCCTTTCTATCGGACACGAAGTGCAGGTACATGTATGCAGATGTCATTACGTACCGTTCAGAAGCGGCAGTGTGCGCTGCCTCAAGCCACTCCCGCCGCGATTTCTCTGAATCCACCTCTAGGAAGCGTTGAGCGGCTTGGTACACAAAAGACTGAATCTTCTCGTTGACCAGCAGCCGCAGCGACTCCACATCCCCTCCCTCCTTTCCTTGCATATTCGACGCCGGCTGTGTCTTTAGATGGAACTCTTCGTATTTGGCAGCCTCAATGACAATCTGCAGAGAAACGTGCTCTGCAGCAGCCGCGTTGAAGATGGCTTTCCCTGTTTCGTAGTTCTCTAGTCGCGCCAGCATTGCCCAAAGTGATGGGAGCTGCGGTGTGACCTCGAGCGCCTTGCGGATAATTTTCTTCTGATCACGGGGCGTGGGAACGTGCGCAAGAACACGCAGCCAGAGGCTCTCACTGGCTGGGCATGCCATTACGGCTTTTTGCAGCCAGTGCAGCTGCTCGTGGGGCGGCTCATGCTGCAACAAGAGCAACCAGAGCTCCTCACACCAGTGGCAGACCTGCACCGCCTCCTCCAACAGATGCCGCTGCGCCGCAGGGTCCTGCATGTGCTCAAGCCGCTCCTTCCAAATGAGTGGTCCTTTGTTCCCTGTCAGCCGGCACCCCTCCACTAGTGTCTGCTGTGCCTTCTTCGTCATGCCCATCTCACGGAAGGCGCGAGAATGAGTGATCCATGTCGTTTGCTCTGTGGGAGAGCCCATACCAAGAATGTTTTCTAGCGTTTGGTTGTTGGTGAGGTCGCGACTACGTAACAAGTCGCTTGCCGTCACAACAGCTGTCTCGTCCGCGAAGACGTAATCGTCGACCACATCCATATCCTCGGTGCGTGCTTTGCGTTTTACGAGTGACTGTGCAGCCACACCACTACCAATAGTAGCAAGGTCTTCCATGGAGAGTTCCACCTTCGCCTTCTTACCGCCATGCACAGCAGCACGACCCACACCCACAACTACAGCAGACGTACGACTCCCCTTCACGTCATCCCTGTGGCGCTTGTGACGGCCCTCCTCGAGGCGGTCCAGCGCGTCAAGCAGATCGCTGCGCTCCGACGACGGTGGCAGCAGAGNCGCAGCGCCCGCCCCTGTGGCAGCGCTCAGCTCCGCAGACGTGGAAAACGCCTTGGCGCCGCGCCCGGCCCCGTACTGGTAGCCGCGCGGCGGGAAGGGCGAGCGCCAGTCGTATTTGGATAGGACCTGCTCATACTTGTCCGTCTTAGCTGCCAGCGGCGGGGCGGCACTCATTGGCGCAGAGAAACGGCGCCTCTACACTTTGCGTTTAGAGCACTTTGGGGGGGGAGGGGGAGAGACAAGCAAAGAAAGGTTAGAGGAAGGTATCATCAGCATCATGTACATCAAGAGATGTCCTCACTTTTGCCAATGCCCATTCAGACAGTTCATTGGAGAACCCCCAATCTGTCAGTCACCATCAAGTGGAGACAACTAAACGCCAATACAAACAATAATAACGGCAACGGCACAACAACAGCGACATGCCCACTGTACGTCTACCGGGGTCGCACGTCCTCCTCGTAATCGTCACCAAACATGCCCCGACGTTCCTCCAATGTCATTCCTGAGCGCTCCACCTTCTCATCCAGCATCTTCTGCAGCGCAAGGCCCTGCCACAGCACGTAGCCAATCATCAGAGCATACATCCAGTAGAACCAGCGGAAATCAATCTTCTGCAACGGTCCCTTCCACTGGGCGTAGCGAATGAGAGACTCCCGAAGAACGTTGGTGTCCACTTCCCGAAAGTCTTCTGGATTCACCTTGCCTTTATTGATGCGGGCCTGACGAATGTACCGCCGCATTGCCCCGTATGAGCTGTGAGTGTACATGAAGAACTTTGGAGTGTCAATGACGAGATAAAAAGCGTCACGCATGGCGCAGTGCACTCTGTTGCTCATTGGGTCCCAGTGGAATAAGGTCCGCATATCTTGGCGCGCGGAGTCCGTCACCAGCCTCAGCATGTTATTGGCACCCGTAGAAGACATCCTCCCAATATCGTTTTCTTTCCTTCTTTCTCTTTCTCTCGCTCTCTCCTTGAGTGATTGTGTGTTTACAGAAGAGCTATGTCCTGTTACCTACACACCGAGGTGAAGCGCGGATGTCGCTATGTTCTGCCAAATGGATCTTTGCACTACCTTTGCAGAGGACAGCTGTTGTTCACAGAAACAGGAAGCACCACCAGGAAAGATGACGCGCCACAACCCGATCCACCGCCGGCAATGGGTGAGCAGTAAATTACATGACGCAAATCAGACACCAGAAAGACAGGCACAGCCACCACCCTTCGCCCGCATCGATAAGAGAAAACAAAGAGCATTGCCGCCTGTTGGATGTAAACTCGTATATGCGCGGCCCGATGCGCCGGCACTTGCACAAGGAGAGTCACCACCCAAGGCAATACAATGCTGGCACCAGGCCCTGTTAACCCCACACGCAGTAAAAATCAAGCAGTGATTCAAATACAACTAAAAAGATTCACAAAGTACGAAACTTTATCGCCTTGCCCTGGACGGCCAAACTCTTGCACCGTTAGGCCGCAGAGCGAATGCGTCTCGGCCACTGCCTCAGAGGAGCCACAGAAAGCTCACAGAATAGCACGTGGAAGAATGACATTCGCCGACGCATCGCGTTGCCGCCAAGAGCAGAGGATGCGGCTAGAGGAGTGATATCATGTCCACCTCAAGCCCTCCAGTCACAGACGCGTATGAAAGGAGAGACGCATACGTGCAAACCTGCCCGAAACTTACCAGGAGCGGGGACACGGACTGCAACCGACGCCCACACGAATAGAGAAAACCACTGCTGAGCGGGAAAACGGCGAGTGTGCGCTGTTCACCGGCTGGATTTATGTCTTTACACGCATCGCACTGAGTTGTTTCTTTCCATCGCCCTTGCGTGTCCAAGGCATGCAACAAGGCTTCTCCTTCCCAGAGCGTAGAAGGAGCCAAAACAAAACATGAAAAATAAATAGCAAAATATGCACCCTGGTCGCTGCGTTGTCCTCTACTTGGCAACAATGTTGGGCCAAAGCGGTGCACAACAGCAACTGAAACAATCATCACATCAACCAAAAACAAAAAAAAAATGTCAACTTGGGATGTATTACTCATCGTTCATCCAGCAACGAAGACAGGGTCACACCATTGATGAAGGAGCGACTGAAGTCTACCTGCAGCAAATCACACGCGCCGCTATTCCTCTCGGTGGATCGACTCGACAGCAAGGGGCTGTTTATGTTTATACTGCGGTTACTTCTCCCGTTAAATACGTGGTCGGCACAGAAGCGCCGTATCCTCTTGAAGTTGGTGGGCGAAGTGAGGTAATCTAGCATCATCCCCAGCACCACTGATCCCTCCGACTCTTCATAGTTTCCAAGCGCTGCAGAAAGGGAAGCGTACGAGGCAATTGACGGTGGCCGCATGAACGTCATGTGAATGACGCAGAGCAGGGTGATGCACAGCGGTCTGCGGGTTCCATCCCGTTCCGCTTCTAGCCTCAGTGCATCTTCCAACATGCAGCTACTGCCGTTGATGTTGTCCTTCGCACCGTCATTTGTAACCCGAACCCTCCATCGATCCTGGCCTTCCACAACCCTCGTGTCTCCCGCGAACGGTGAAACAATTGTCCTCTCACTTTGGAGTGAATGACGGAATGGAGGCTCGCTGCTCTGAACCTTCGACGCATGTTCCAAAACCGCGTCACGCAGCGCATCTTGCCAATCATGTCGATACATCTCTTGGACTTCCTTGGCGCGCCGCTTCAGCTGCGTCATTAACTTCCGGTCGTGTTGAGTGAGGTTGAATGTGATGAGTGCATGAAAAATCACCTCGCCATCCGATGAGGTTGCGGTTGCATCGTCTGAAGCCTCTTCATACGTCTGTCTTTGGCGCACATGCATCTCGTCATTTCCCGTCTTGTCATTCACTCTGCTACTTCGCGATATACTAGGACTCTTCACTGTGTCAGTCATAGGCACGGACGGCACCTCGGAGGCCGTGCCATGCTCACCACCCCCTTTTGTGGTGATTGGCTTCATTCGGACTACACCCACACCCGTATCACCTGAACTGAGAGTAGCAGTAGCCGGCTCTCCTGTGTGTTTTCGCTCTCGCGTCGTCGCAGCTGCCGTTTGAGTATTGGCGTCACCACTCACATTCGCCAGCACCGACCGAGCACAAAAATCCATTCTCCTGTTGGGATTTTTGTTGTCTGGGTTGCTGCTCCTGCTGTCATAGGCATTGCCGTTATCATCTCGATTGGGGGCATTGGAGGGAATTTGAGCTTCTGTTGGCCTCATGGTTGTGAGATCCGCTGGCAACGCGGTCCGCGAGGAACTGAACAATTTTGGTTCATTGTCACTACTAGTGAACGGCGCCCCACCGTCGCCGCCGCCACCACCAACACTCCCCCACAGTTGGCCCCAAGCACCACCATTAACGATGGTTTGCGCACTCTCAGACTCACTCACCTCTGTAAGGGAGCTCAGCGATTCAAAGTGACTGCAAGTAAGATCCGCAGGGTCTGCATTCGGCCCTACGAACATTGGGGAGGAAAGGGGCGGCAGCTGCCCATATTCCAGCAACTCATTCTCTGCGACAACCGTTTGAGAGTGACTACGCCGCTGCTCAATCTCCTCCTGCACACGCATGCTTCGGACAGCGGTGCTGGGCATTTCCTGGAGATACCCATCATTCTCCTCGATCTCAGCGGTGAGCATGGATGGCACTTCGTCCTCCTCCGGCATACTCCGCTGGAGCGCCGTCACTGTCTTGAGCGGGGAGGACGAGGGCGTCCGCTTTGACGAGGCACGGTCATTACCCAGAGTGTTATCGCCATTCCCAGGCGTGAGGAACACCCCGGCGGTGGGGCCCCATCGCCTTGAAAGAAAATCCTCAAAAAAGCTAAGAGGTATATCGTTAACATATGTGTTCACACGATCTACAACGCGGGGAGTGTACGTTTCACCGACCAAGTTCCTGACAGCATTCAGCCATGCTGCCAATGCATCAGGTGCGAGGAGATGGTCCGCTACTGCGTACATGGCCGCGAGCTCCAGGCGTACTGGTACTTCTACCACAATATGCAAGGCACCAGCATGCAATGGATGAGCTGGCGTTGGTGGGGAGGAAGAAGAAGAGACTTCACTTGGCGCACCCGCATCGCACGACACCATCACTTCCACGTGCACATCGCTTGGTTTACAGCAGTCAACGAGTGCCCGATCAACGATATCATCTTTTATAGCCAATAAAGCCTTTGACGAGAGAAGTATCGGCTGGAACAGTGCAAGTCCAAGTGGGTCCGGCAAACTCGACACAACATGCACTTGTGCTCGTCGCATCATGGGCCTCTGTTGCTGTTTGTGTTGTTGTAGCTGTTGCGGTGGTGACGGTGATGACGACGGAAGAGGACGAGTACACCCATTATTGCTTGGCACTGTCAGAGCACAGTCACCTGTCTGTCCTGTGCCCAACGTCGAGAGCGTGGTACGACACCCTACCGTCTCAGCCAAAGAGGCATCCGAGGAAGGGAGCGGAGACATCAACGGCTGCTGGCGCGAAGAGAGACTCCTGGTGCTGTTGGTCTGCTCCTTAGAATATGAAGACAAAGTGCTATGCTTCTGCTGCAGATGAAAACTCTCGTGTTGTTCCTGATTATATGGCGTCATTGTCACGGCGCGCAACTGGCGCGCCCGACCTGAAGTACGGGTGTCATTACCCATCCTTTCCTGTAGCTGTTTGTACCGGTACAGGGACAATGGGGAAAGCGGCTGTATTTCAATGGGCTCGGCAATACTTGCCTCTGATGGATGTTGGGGATGCTTCTTCAGGGCTACTAGAGGGACCCCATTCAGTGTTGACTTCGCGGCATTGATAGTAAGTATGCGACTGGGACGCATGTTACTCCCAATGAAGGCACGGGTAGAAGAAAAGGCTGAAGGCTGACCAATATAGGGAGCAAGCCTAGAAACAGTTTCCTCCGAAGTCAGTTCCCCGCCCTGGCTGAGGTTCCAGACTACAATCTCAATAGAGAGCCGCACCGGGGCCAGGGAGTCTGCGGTGGGTGTAACAGTAACAGTTGTGGTGTGGCGCATCCCAATTGCCGTCTTCAAATCCTGTCGAACAAACTGCAGCAGCGCCGCACAACTACTGCTGTTGGATGCAGCGTCACCTGGGTCGTTAAGTGAAAGCCGCCTCACCACGCCGTCACCGCTCGCCGTTGGCGGCGGCAGCGGAGAACAAGACGGTGATGGTATGGGCCCACGCGCCGCGTCGTACACCACCCGGCTGCAGAGCACAAGCGACAGCGCAATGGTGCCTCTCGCCGCGCCACCGGAGGCGCAGACCTCACTGTTGTTTTGGCTCATTTGAGCCGCAAGCCAGCGCCCGCACTCCTCGTCCCCCCTCCTTCACCTTTTGAGAGGATGCCATGGAGTGTTATGAGCAAGTGGGAGAGAAAAAAAAAAGTAAATTAAAAAAAAACCTCTAATCACAAACAAAACAAGAATAGGGGTTGCCGCAGCAGCAAGCACTGCATACACGTGCGCAAAAATTATCACCGCCGGGTTATGAATTGTGACGTTTGGGCACTGGCTAGGCCGAGACAAACTGCCACAGATGACGTTCCACATCCACAACAGCAGCGGAGAGTAGCCCGTCACGGCCACTCAGTGCATCAACGTAGAGATCCGACTGCAGCATTGTTTGAGTGTCTGTGCCTCTCCGTTTCTCCATCACAATCGTGCCCATCGACAGTTTGTACTTCATGTGGAGAGGGCCGCTGGGTGCCGCCCCGGCAACGGACGGGGACAGCAGCGTGAGGGCGACATGTGTCCCCGGCCGCACGTCCACCACAAATGACGCCTCAAGGGGGCCAATGAAAAATGTTTCCCGCAGAATCTTGCATTGCGTCTCGACCACTTCCATAGCCACTGCATTAACAAGACGAAGGGCCCCCATGCACCCCTTCTCGAGGCCTAATTCAAAGCAGCTGGACAGATAGCGCAGACTGGCCTCCTGGTGTGCCGGCAAAACACGAAGGGCATTTCCAGCCCCACCAAAAGCGGCCTCACCACGGCTACTGTTCCCGCTCCCTGCACCTGTCGCCAGGCTGCCACGTAGCAGAAGCTCCGGCAGTGTTTGAGCACACAGAATCCAACGCAACGACAACACGCGCCAGTGGCTTCCCCGCGCAGCATCCCAGGTGATGTCCACAACAAGTGACCGCCGTACAACTACTTGCACGACACCCTCTTCTGTGTAAGGGAACTCAAACCATGGAGGCATCAGCATTCGCTCTTGTTGTGGCTCCTGTCGGTCACCTTGGGTCTCGAGCGCCACACCTTCGGCACGCAAGGAGTTCCAAAGATCCTCCACTGTTGCACGTAGGGTAGGCAACTCTCTCAACAATTGCGCCTTTGTGTCCACTCTACAGAAAGCTGCCAGCATCTCACACTCAGCCTCCATGTTGAGTTCAGCGAATTCTCGCACAGCTGGTGGCACAAAAGGAGTAAGAGACCCCTCGCCACCCCTCATCACCGACGGAGGTGAGAAAACTTCTCTGGGAAACAGAGCCGAGCGAGCGGTGTACAACGCAAGTCTCCTTTTCCGCTGGTCGGCTGCAAGCCGTGAGAAAGCACCTCTGTGGAACTCGGTGCGACTAGTACCACTCCCAACAGCATCACTATCGCGCCCGTGTTTCTCTGAGCGCCTAAAAACAACCTTAGTATTGTGGCTAAACAACGCAAGTGATGCCTCTGCGAGTGAGGTGGGTTTGCCACACGGTAATAGCCCGTAGTGTGGCGACCCCGCGTTGGTCACCATTGGGCCAACTGCAGGCACTCCAGTGAGCTCCGCTGCCATCTGCCCCAACCCCTGGAGGGCAATCATTGCGGGCGTCCATGTAGTTTTCATTCCTGTTGTTGTTGTTGTCATTGTTGCTGCTACTCCTTCTGGAGGCAGGTGTGAACGGCGCTCATTGGCACAGTCTCGAATGAGCTGCAGGATGGAACGAATGCGCTTCGCCCGATTCGCCAAGTCGCTCACCTCCTCCTCAAACTCATCCGAGACATCCCGTGAGGCGTCCACGGCCTGAGACGTGTAATCCGCGAGGAGCTGGACCAAGCACTGCGGGACCTCCTGCACCATTCGTTGCGTGTCGCTCCTCAAGGCGCCGAGGGCCACAACACACGCGCACACCCTTCGCTTCCCGGAATGGGACGAATCGAAATTCCCCCTCCCCCCCCCCAAAAAAAAAANAAAAAAAAAAAACATAAACGAGAGAAAAACAACAATAAAGAAGGGGAGAGGCATGTCTCGCCGAGGGGATCCTTGCAAGGATGCGGGCATAAGCAACAATACCAACAACACATACAGACGCGCAAACAACAACAATAAAAAAAAAAGATGAGGCATCTTTGCACACAGATGATACTCATCGAGCCCATCGCGGTCCTGTATATCAAAGCAAACAGTATGGTATAGCGAGCTCATTCACGACACGGAGGGAAAGAGACAGAGACCAATAAAAAAAAACAATATAAGAACATCACTTGATGAAACACCTAATACGCAACGGTGTCTCTGATAACTGCTTAACATTCCTCAGCAGAGCCCGCAAGAACACAGCAGCGCCGCACTCATACGCAAAAGACATAAGCAAGGAAAAGTCAACGATCCGGTGGCACCTTTTTGTCAGCACTGCAAGAGATCAAGAATGCCACAGCAACGCAAGAATAAACAATAACAAAAGAGCATCTCGCACAAGTGTTCCCCTCTTTCAGCTCCCCTTTCCCACAACACACTTTTCAAACATTACCGGGCCTCCTTATCCTCGATGCATCACTCAACAACGTCGCAGCCCCAATTACTGATTGCACATGTGATGTCCCCCAAAAGTGAAGACATAAGAACGATCCCCTCAAAATGAATTATATGCACATATACGAACACACAGATACACACACATTATATA